TCTCGTAGAATGATCAATATTCCGCAACAACGTGATTGGAGTTTCTATATTAAGATTCAACTCATGGTTCGACACTCCAGAATATCTGATAGTATTCGAAAACTCGGGGGTATGGAGATCGGACAAATTATCATTATTGGAATCAGATTTGGACGTACTATCAGAGCTCAAGTATGTTTGAACATAGGTTAGGTTCAAAGACATCAATTACTCATTGATAGACTGAACCACCTCCAACGTTGGAGCTAGTATAGCCCTATCCTTCAAATAACAGGAATCATCGATTGCATCCGTAAACATTGGATATGTGCTCTCAACAATTGCAGCGATGTGAGATCCAACAATATATCATCAGGTATGTATTTCAAGGCACATCCATCATTAGATGCTCCGATGGTTACATCTCCAATGCCCACTATCTAATTAGCAAAAACAGGCAACTTCTCGCGTTCATTCTAACCACCAATGCTCTGAAGGCGCATATTTTTTGTAAGCCTCAACACAGTACAACTAGCCCATATGTCGGAAGAATTAATTGCAACATTCACAATAACCTGACGACTCCCCTTTGAATAACCATGAGGATTCGTCGGAAGTCCTCATTGTGAAATATGATTTCCAAGTAATTATTGTATTCAACCTCAAATTTGTGTTTGGAGTAGTCAAAGATGCTAACGAAGCTAGATTTCAATTATTTGAATACGCAATTCATGGGTAATTTCTCAGTTCTAGTGACATCGTTGATCAAACTGAATTCGCACTTCATGTTGAATTGAATTAAATCTATATAAATGTATTTGTGTAACAATAAATTAAATCAAAAGCAAGATGATTAAACAACGTCGGTCTACATTGAATTTATAGGGGGAAAAGAACAAAGTAAATTTTAGATTAATTCCATATATATTTGATATTATAATATTTTAACAAATGCAATAAATTTCCTATGATTCATGTCATATGAAAATATTTTAACAAAAGCAATAAATTACTTATGGTACATGTCAAATTTTAACAAATGTAATAAATTGCCTATGATTCATGTCCTAATGTCGTTCCCATCATCATTAGATTTTTTTTCTTATCCTCATTAGATCCCCTTTGGTTCTTCTTAGGTCCTTCAATCGATCTACGCTCCTGGTGTCAATTATGGTTCAAGTGCACATAGGTCACAGTAGAGTAAATCGTCTCTTGATTTTGGTTGACTTGTTTCTATAGTTCTCCTCCGTCTCATTTCTAAGGTCGACCTACCAAGACTTAGTGTCAACCAGGTATAGCCTAGCCATGGTAAAATCAAGTACATACTCAAAATATATTGATAATGTACCATCAATAAACACATTCTAACATCTTAGACATATACTTGCAATAGACACATGGCAAAAACAAAAGACCTATTACATATAGTAGATTGAACAAAACATAGTATGGGCATGCAAGTCCATGGCACACATAGATGAACATTGACTTGCACTTAATACAAGCACACTCATGCTTGTAAGGCATCTTAGATAGTAGTCGTTCTCCGCAAGAACATGTACGGGCATGCAAGTCCATGACACAGTTTTTGTCGGCATCAAGAACCTTAAACCTTCATTTACTTGACCGAATGATTTTTAAATTCCAGAAAGCACTATATTTAGATGCATTTTTTTCAACCTTAGGACACGACTCACTAGCAAATGGCAACAACCCCTCAAGTTGATCATGTGTCAATAAGTTGGACAAAAACTTCAAACCTTTCAGTAAAAAATATTATCCAATAAAATAAAATAGGTACTACATTATCCCCAACGGGCATATGCATGTATCAATGGTACAATGTTCATCTACGAGAAACTGACATAACCTAATATAAAAAGTTGGTAGAATGGAGGACAACCACCAATCATTGACACCTTTTTTTTTGGAGTATATAAAGAACAAGAACTCATCGATTTAAAAAATAAAATAAAATAGACTTTCACCTCAGATGCTGGGAGATTTCACAATGAGTGACAATTTGCATTCGTCGGAGAAAACAGGTAGAGAGTTTTTTGAAGATGCTCACGCAAGTTTTTCTATTCAGAGTTTGCTGGAATTGGTTGGTTTCGTCTTTTACAGACATTGCTCGGGTCGTTATTTGGCCGAAGTTCGCTGTGTCCGTCTTTTGCTGGAATTTGTCGTGTCTGCCTTTCGTCGACGTTCATCGCGTTTGTCTTTCGTCAGAGTTCATCAGATCCGTCTTTCGATGGAGTTCATAGCATTCGTCTTTCAGTGGCATACTCTTGGTATAACTTGAAAAAGTAGAGAAAAAAAAGGAAGCGAGAGGAGAAAAATGAAGAATGTGAGAAATAACAAAAAAAAA